GAATTACAATTTTTTTGTATTTTTTCATCTTGTATTTTGTATAACTAATCAAAAAAATAAAAAGAAATACATTTTTTCTGCCAATATAAAATTATAAATTTTTTAAACCGGTTTTTGAGACTAAAGAAAATCTTTTCCGTATTTAGTTTTTTTTTATTCGATTTTTACCAATAAACATCAAAATATAAGTTTTAATTAAGATTTTCGTTAAAGAAAGAAAATATTTTTTTTTAAATTCACTATTTGGGATTAAAAATCTAAATGTTGTTTTTAATTAAGACTTTCCGAGAAACAAAARAAAATATTATACCGATTTTTTTTTTAAATGCACTCGAACAATAAATAAACACACGTCACATGTATGAACACACCTGCCAACTTTCTCAATACAAGCCTTGTTTTAAAAGTTACGCTGGAGAATGGGTGCAGCTGTGCATGAATGCGCCGCATGAAAACCTTATAATATACATATCATTTAGCTCACAAAAATGTCATCATTATTATAATAATGRCAATAATAGCTGTATTAACCGTTCGAAATGATAAGAAATTAAAAATTAATCAGAAAGTTATGAAGCGTGAAAATACTAAAAAAAAAATGACATTTGAACTTCGATTCTCCAAATGTTGACAATTTGATTTTTGGACTACACATTATCACCTAAAATTCAAAATAACGTAACATCAATTTGAGTTTTGGTTATAAAGTGGTTATATATTGGTTATGAATTGGTTATATCTGTCAGCGGAAGCCAAACATTTTATGCTACATATATATATATATATATTGATGTAGTGAATCGTAAGCAATAAAGAACTCAATTTCGATTTTTTTGATGATACGTTGTTTTGCATTTTAAGTGACAATATACTACATGTGTGTATGTAGTTGCAAAGATTAAAATCAATAATTTCTTATTTTGTTATTGAAACAAATCTATCACACGCGCCAATGCATCTGGCTGACTTTCCAGCGTTCAAGCGTTTCAACACACTGCYTTTCATATAATTTTTGCCTTGCGCAAAGCTCAATAACATTAATTTAATTAACAGCCTACATTTCGAGAAATTGAAAAAATTATAACAAAATGTTAAACAATTTTGSAGCCACTGTGACTGTTCTGAATGCATATTTCGAATTTAGTGAGTAAAGTCTAATATTAATATTAAACTACTTCAACCCTAGTTACACTTTCTACACCTTAATAAGTAGTCCAACTTGAGTTCAAACACTTTTTCATTTTCATAAATTCAAAATTTTTGTGCTTAAAAAAATATTATACAGCAACAATACCAATATTTCCACACAAAATTTTTTTAACTACTGAAGATCAAATAGTTCCTTATTATATTATTATATAATATATTTATGTTATTTATTTTCCATATTTATTTAATTTCCGCCACTTACCGCATACGTTAATGTTTACGTTAGGCAAGAAAATTATCGATTTTTCCAATTATAGCAAACATTCAAGATTTTTTTTATTTTACTGTGTTTTGTTTTTGTCTATTGACTGCTTACTTACAGCACCACATTATTTTTACTTTATGTCAATTACTTTCAATTCCTTTCCAAATTGTAAAAATTCGAAATTTTKTGCCTTATTTTTATATATTTTCAGAAAGCAGGTGCTTTCGCTTCGAAACCGTACACAGTCTAAACAAACACGTGCGAGTTGTCTGCCCTCTTACGACAGACTTATTAGACCGGAATACAAAGCGTCAGCGGCGCAACGAAAGGAGCTACGAAAATAACGCTCGTGTTGAAAATTGTCAAAAACCCGATCATATGTTRTCTTTTAATTGGTTTTGCTATTATTATTATTATATTTGTTTTTGTACCAGCTGCTCGAGCACACACTTAAAACTCTAAAGCCAAGCCAAACACTTACTCACTRTTTTATGGGCTTTAAAAACAACTCGCAACCGAAAAATCGATGGCAGTAATAGCCAAACGCTGCCCTAGAACTGTGTAAGTATGTGTGTAAAAGCTTTGCTGCACTCAAATTTCAAAAGCGTACTGAGCTCCGTTGGCTGCAGGACGGCAGAGTGCAAGCGATTATTGACCGGCGCGTTGCGCATAAATATCTGTCGACCAATGGCAGTCAGGGTTGTTATGGCATTTAGTATATAAATATGTACACATGTATGTACATATCTATATACATATTTAGTATTTGCATGCTTTTATATTTACATGCATACACACATATGGTGATGTTAAAAAGCGGCTTAATTTTATTCAAAACTGCACAATAATAAAAATTAAATKTTTGCGTTTTATGCAATCTTTATGCACATGTCTTTTCGTACATAATATTTATTTGATAAGCTTGACATACATACATACATATACATTAATGGATATTACAGTCAAAGATAAGCTCTTGTTGCAAGAGGCTTCATTCAGTGCAATACATTAACCCCTATATTATATACAATGCAATGAAGCTAGAATACCCTTAACAAATAAAAATATTTCTAACTTTATTTTGGGCGGACAGTTTATATGGTAGCTACGTACATAGGTACATATATGCCAAGTTTTCTGATCTGAACAAGAATCTTTGTAGCACTATGCCTAATAATATTCCACGCGAATTTTGATGAAGATGGCTTATCAAAGATAGAAAAAAGGAACTTCCTTCTTACTTCCTTCATGCTGAAAGGGATGGAAAAGATTGTAGACAACTATATCAGATCGAAGGCGCTGAAAATTACATACCTATATGCCAGACATCACGCCTTCAGARCAGGCAGATGCACTAACACTAMTCTTTATCGCCTCACGGCTGCCTCCAGAATTCGGTGGAAAATGGCGAGATTGCGACATGTGCATTGCTTGACATCATAGGCTTGAGACCCCTAACACTTAGTGGCAGGGAGTTGGCGCTCAAGTTCCTAGACCTTACAGTAGCTTCAACCTTACGGTATAGGCACGTGGAATTAACACTGTCCACAGCCACCAAGGCACTCATGATAACGCCTAACCGGCAGATTTTAGGGCTGTAATCTTGATCATCATCTATTGGCTGTATACTCTGATCGTAAGCCCTAAATGCAGTCATGGTGGAGCTCAYACAGCTGCATCTAGTGATCAAACAAATAGCGAAATATGCCATGCTGCTCATGGAGGCAGAGTGTTTTGGTAAAGGAAAGGCAATGTCATCTCAACAAATGAAGGGGAATACACACCACTGGCCTTTCTTCCAAGGAATGGCGTTACGAAGAGGGTAAACGTCGCAAAGAAGTTTAGAGTTACTCTCGGCAGTAAGGCGGTGTGGACTGATTTCACGCTCGACCTACTACTTAGGGGCAGCACTATTCAGTGTTACGCTAACGGCTCGAAAACACCTGAAGGCATTCAATCATTTATGGCAGGACCACATATTATACTATTCTTTTGAGGGGTTAGGCCACTCTAGAATTTTCGGGAAATTAATTTTTTTTTTTTTTTCAAATGATACATTAGGTCTCATAAATTTTATCCCGAAAGATTATGACAGGGAAAAATTCTAAATGCCCCACTTTCGTCATCTAGTCGAAGGCCGTTCGTTCGGCAGGGAGCCCACCCAAAACTCACTAAAACTGTTCTTTTTTTCAAGTTGGCCGGAAATTTTGACAACATCTTCAGAAATACATTATCTACGTAGGATTGTTTTTTTTTATATTGCATGTTTTTTATTGCTTTTGATTAACAAATTTCGAACAATTTTTTAGGCCAAATTGTTACTTGCCCCTCCTACGTAATTATTGCAATTTACAAGGGGAAACCGTTCAACAACTTATTAAAATTAAAAAATTACAGGAGCTGTGTATCCGGCCGTGGTTCCCGAAAAAACGGAGACATCCTAGGGAGAACGCTGTGTAGCCGCCATTTTTCAATTAATTTTTCTTCAAAAATAGTTATAAGCAGTTAATTATATGTATAATAAATCCCTTTTGTTAAAAACCAGATTTATTTAATAGTTTTCCCGAAAAAAAATCTCAAACAAAGGCCTAGGACCCGTAGAGTGGCCTAACTCCTTAAATGGGACGTTTTCGGAACATTTTTCAGGTGGAARTCTTTGCTATAAATCAGTGTGCAAAAATCAATCAATCAATCAGTGGCGGAGTGTATGTGAAACCTGACCCAAATGCAACCGTGTACACCTGAACTGGGTGCTGGGGTATAAAGTGGTCCGGCATCTTGGATTTTTATTGCTTACGATTCATTGAACTTCCGCTATCAGATATAACCAATATATAACCATTTTATAACCAAAATCCAAATTTTGTGTCATTATGAGTTGAAAAGTAATTTTACGTWATTTTACATTTTAGGTGACTTTATATTAATTCAGATGATGGAGTGCTGGTTTGGAAACTTAATTGTATGCGCCAATCCAAACAATTACTCAAAACGGAAAAGCTCCCAACGTACAATTAAATGCAGTTAGGGAAATGCAAAATCTCTTGCATAAACTTAGGCGCCGCCAAATGCCAAATACAACGCTGAGCAACCAAATTCCTCTTATCGCTCAACACGAAACCGCAAAAAATCAAAATATAAACATGCATGCATGTTGTTGTATTTATATGTTGCGATGTTGTAATATGCATAATGAAATGTTATATTTTCAAATCACTCAACTGTTTGTCAAGCGAAGGAAAACAACTATTCTCTGTCTATTATAGTAGTTAATTTTATTATATTAAAATAAATAAAAATATTATYTGTGTGCAATCGTTATCAAAATAAATGTTTCTGCCATAAATCGTTGTAATGGATACGAAGGTAAGCGCCACAACAGCCGAAGTGACACATTTTGGCGCTACAACGAAAACTAATATACAGGATGCGGAAGCGCAAAATCTACCAACGGAACATATAGTTGATATTAATGACAAAAGTGGTAATAATGGCAATAATAGCAACAATAGCAACAATGGCTACGATATTGTCGCAACGGATAATGAACCCGAAACATACCCGATTGTGAAGCGTCCCACTAAATCTGAGCTGGGACGTATGAACAGCTTGGATTATGCAGGAAATAAAAATGTAGTGGAAGGTATGTAAACTAAAAATACAAATTTCATAATATAAAACAGTTATCACTATTTGCAGGTTTGATGGACATTGCCCTACTGTCAGCGAACGCTAATCAGTTGCGGTTTTTACTTACATACAATAACAAAGCGCCTACCTTTTATATCAGTCTGGGGCTAGTGAGTGTCTCTTTAGTGCTGCAGGTTGTCGTAGGTCTAGCGCTAATCTTTAAGGTATTACTAATGTATAGCACAAACATTTCCTACGCTTAGTTATATGATATGTAAACTGTTTCTTTTAGCGTCACATGAAGAAGAACGATCGACGTTATATCTACATTAAGGCGCTACTGATTTTTGGCATATTTATTATAACTGTAGTGAATGTACTGATTGCGGCATTTACCACAACCGAAAGCGATGACAAACCATAGGCGGCCCAACCTTGACGAAACTATTCACCAAATAACACCAAATAAAAATGTAAAACAAAATTTTTTTTTAAACTAAAAAGACTAATAAAGACTCCTATTAAAAATTTAAGTGAGTATAAAATTATGATTTTGTTCAGTATTGAACAACATTTAGAAATCGTTCCACTTCTTTACGAAAATTCACGTTCTGTAAAGAATGTGTTTCGCGCGCTACGCTCAACTAATGGTCAACATAATCGGCCKTTTGAGCTTACTATTCGCAACACTATCAACCATCTTGAGACCCAGCATTCATTACTGGATAATACTCGACCGAATAGATCAGGTCCAGCACGCAGTGAAGAAAATAAAGCAGCCGTAGTTG